ATGCCTAAGTAATTGGACAGTACGCGCCATCACGCGCGCGCTGAAATGGCTTTTTTTCACTAGTAGCAAATAAAAGGAATTTCTTCTGTTTTGATTTGAAAAAGAGCCTCATATATATCACAAATTTTGTTAAAGTTATGATTAATTGGTAACAGAACTTCGTGTCGTCCAATTCGGTCTGTAATCATACTAGCCTGCGTGCAGCAGCTACACGTAGGCTATAATCATACTCGAGATTAAACAAATCGGACTCCCTTTTGTTAATCACTCTTATGATTACAGACCGAATTGGACTCCACTCACCGGCGTGTGACACCAACGGTGAAATGAAAGTCAAACCACATAAAGCATTGTGAAATCAACAACGGTTAATGAACATAGTTTTCGCATCGTAAAACAACTTCCATTTCACTTCCCACCACAGCAGATTCAAGAATAGAGCAAAACAGGTAAGATTTTATTTATCTCTTACTTAATTTCTATTTGCAGTTTACAAATAAGAGCGTGGGTTCCCCATGACATTAGTAACGTTTCGATCGATGATTATCATTTATACTGAGTTATAGTATAATTACTATATGGAGTGTCTCCAAACCGTATGCCTGGAGTGGGCTGGTGGGGATGGGGGATGCATGCACCATCTGTTACAATTTATTAAGTCCGTGTTTCACTAGTTTGACTTTAACTGAGCAGAGTGAAAATAAATCTAACGCGGGATGCAGTGTTTCATCCGATATCCACACAGCGCAAACTCGCGATCATGATGCGGTTTAAAGAAAAGGAGGAGCAGCACCCATTTTTGAGTTGCCTGGATATTGGACGAAGTACCGTCAAGGTGTCCCTTATCTGATTTACTTCTCAGAGAAACAATATAAAGCAGTAAAGAAAAATACCTGTATGAATTATTATTATTATTGTTTTAATGTTAAATAATGACGATCCTTTCTGAACTGACCTTGCCTCTTGACAGTCAACCGCTTTAAGTCGACCGGTTGACTAATGCGCGATAGCTATACATCAACTATTTAACAGCGATATTTAAACAGTATTTAGTTGAAAATACTAAGCCTCAATAAATCTCGAAAAGGTAGGTAAATTATTTACAAAGTACCCTCGCCGAACGTTTCCCTTACCCGAGTCCAGCTCAGCAGCATATACGTTTTTAAATCATTCTCTAAAAACTTTATGGAGGAGAAACGGTACTTTTCTAGCACTTAGAATTTAGTGACAGAGAATATTAATGAGTGTGCCAAATCTTGCTTATATCGAACGGTTTATAAACTAGGGAGCTTCTACAGCAGCCCACTGGGTCATTCAATTTAGTTTCTTTCAGTTGCCCGACAATCACGAGAGCACATGCTTGCTAATATGTCTTGTCTCGAGGGAAGAGGATAACGACAAGTGGTCGTTGGTACAGAAAATAAACGGATCAGTTGTGTAGACAAAGTTGTTGAAAAATAGAGGAATGCCAGACTGTTCGGACCGGACAAAAGGTAGTCTTAATACAAGGGTGAACGCAAGGTGTAGTACGAAAGATTAATTCAATTCAGCATTTTGATCAATATGTACACCAAACTGAAACGATTGCCACATCTAGGACAAATTGGATAAGCAGGGAGGCTGAAACTGAAATTGTAGAGTTAATATCAAGCGCAACCTGAAAAGGCGCCGCCTCCCTCATCAAGAATGATCAGGGACGGCGCAGCGTATTTTCAACTCAGTGGGGCTTGAAAACGAGCGCCGAAGGCGCAAGTTTGAATTGGGGTCTGGGGGTATCCTCCCACAGATAATTTTGAAATCTAGAGGCTCAGAAATCGTGTCTTCAACAACATTCTCCATGAGACATATCTTTTAAAAAAACTCAACCTGACCTGGATAAACTGTAAAATGACAGGCACTTCATATGCTTACAGCAATATCATGGAGGGAATTTGTACACTTGATACATATTTCTCGGCCCTCCATACATCCCGCCGCCCTTAGCCTGCACTGCCCTACTTTTTATACAAGCCTTCCGTGTGTGGGAAGTGGGGAGGAAGCACAGGCTCATGGGAAAATCTTTAAAACGCATAAACACGAAATGTTTCCTGCAGGTTTTATCTACTGATTATTTTTGTGGTAAAACCTCTTCATTAACTGGCCTAAATGAAGCGGCGAAGTTATCCATCGATCTAAAAACGTTGTAGAACGATACCCGACTAAAGCACATACCCATGCCCTGTTCGATTCCCTCGTGCCTGTCTCCGGCTCGATCACACTACAGGTAATCCAGCTTCATCTGTGGTAAACCGGACCTTTTTCTCTTTCCTTTCTTCTTCTTTACTCTTGGTGCGTAGCTCATACGAGAACAAAAAAAATCCTCTAAAAAAGTGGGGTCGCCGTTCCTGATGATTCTTATTTACCTAAATGGCCTCGTCCGATTGCTTTTTAAAAGTGGCGATTTGAATTTGCTTAGCTGGATTTGAGTTGAAGAATATTTTCAAGGACCTTAAAAAGAAGAATTCAGGCGCACCTATTTAGAAAAACCTTATTCGATTTGAGGTTTCTTCTTACCGCGGGCCCTACGCTTCAGCCTGCACCGTGCTTAACATCTCTTTCTTTACTGATAGGTAACACAAGGCTGCGGTACGATCAATTTTTTCCAGTGAATTTTCCCACTCCCGCAAAGATATTTTATACACTTCATTTGGTGGTATTCTAATACCACTGTCAACTGGAAATTTGTTGATGATGAAATAAACCTTACCTCCCAACAGTTCTACTGCACCAAGGGTGTTTGGAGGAATGCGGTTTTGCTCAACAACGTACCACGAGTCCGTTTGCTCATTATAAACTTCGACAGGAGCAGAGCGACCTCGTGAAGAACCTTCATTAGGAACAGTAACCCGTCCACCAACCACATAAAGCTTGTTATTGTCTACAAACAGACTGGAATTAAAGTGAGGATGTATAGTTGAAGCCTTCTTCTTCCATACATTTTTCAGAGGGTCAAAACAGTGAACAACGGCCGGTTTTGGATCTTTACGACTGCATGCCGCGGTCTTTGGTCTTTTCCTCTTTGTAAAATCCATGAAGAACGTATATTTTAGATCTCATACTCACGGCCGTCACAGTTACTAATTTTCCTTGGTCATTGTCTGTTTTGTTTAAAAAAGGCAACTTGGAACCATATTGCCAATCATTCTGAGCCAAACTATATCTCTGAAGCAGACCATAGTCACTAAATACAAATATATTTTCATTGACTGAATTCATACAGTCTACCCTGGAGTAGTTGTTCTGGAAATGTGGAAGTCTTTCCCACACATTTCTAACAGTGTGATAGCGATACATAATGTGAGAATAACTACCCTTCTCTGTTACAACTGCATACAAGTAATTGCCCACAACTTTTGCGCAAATGCATTCAGTTGCATGAACCAGTCGTGCCATGGACAGAAACGGTTTCCATGATTTTGTTTCGGCATCAAAATACTGCATTTCAGTGGCAACGGAATCTTCTCTCTTCTGCGGGGTAGACTGACCAGGGAAAATTACAACAAGTACCTGAAATAGAACAGAAAGTAAAATAATAGCTTTAAACTGATGAAGGCCAAACGCGAAACGTGCGAAATTTCAAAACACGTTAACTTGAACTCGGCTGATGAGAGACGCTTGCTCATTTATTTTTGAAAATGGTAAATGTCTTCAGAGTCGTTCTCCCGGAATTACAGGCTTTGTATATGTTGTAGTTAATTTTTTATCTCAGGTAATTTTTGTTTTTCTTTTGTTTTTGGGTGTGATAATGTATGCTAATGAAATTGAAACCAAGGAAAAATAAAAATTACCTGAGATAAAAAATTGACTACAACAAATTTATTATAGTCAGCTAAAAAGGAAGACCCAATAGGCCATTTGCACCAAGTGATCATGTGAGATCGTTTTTATGAAAACGAAAGTTATATTATTTTGCCTTCAAAAAACGATTAGTGGGTCATATCTTAAACAAAAAATTAGTGATTTGGTTTTTCAAACCCGCGCCATTTACTACAATGAGTAAGTAGGTAGCTGGAATAACCTCCTTCTGAACACAAATTTTGCACTTAAACTTCAAGGAAAATGTTGAATAAGATGATGTGGTAACGTTACAGCACACCTGAGCGTAACTATCAAACGTTTAATTAACAATTAATGAATGAGGCTGAGTATCTTATGAAGATCTTATGAATCTTATGAAGATAACTGTTTTATTATTCATTCAAAATAATTCCTAGCTTAAAAACATAGCTAAAACATGCTTACCTCCATCGATCCATCAATGTTAAGTTCATCTTCGATAGTGCACGTTTAGGGTTGTTCAGCTCCGCAGATATTATCCAAATAGCAGATGTCACCCTTCGAGTTGTCTTCTTGTTGTTCTTGCCATGTTTTTAGCTATTATTTCGCCTAGTTCTTACTCTTGAAACGAGTGAAATGTCCGCCATTTTTGTTTCCGCAACCAAAACAACCCAACCTCGTCCCAGCTCTTCTCGGTTAACGGTTCATTAACCTGCAAAAACGCTGCATTTTTGACGTCATTTCCACGCTAAACACAAAATTCTTGCAAATTTGGTCATTAGTAACTGGTTATGGTGAATTATGCGTGTGCTTTTAGAAAATCAGAATCGGGAAAATATTTTGAATGAATAATAACAAGATATAAGCAAAAAGTAGTTTTGAACGCCATTTTGGAGGGCAAGAGTATGCCGAAAAAACAAAGTTGAAAAAACAAAGTGCCATAAAATATCCCCCTTAAATGCGTTTCTTCTTATGTGCTCTGTCAATTTTTGTCATCAACAGGATTCCAACTCTAAAAAGGAAGCATTGGTCACGTGACCTCTTAGTGCAAGTGGCCTATAAGGGTCCAATAGATGCAGGCTCGGTTTTTATTTTTAAAAAATCTATTTATCAAAAAACCTTACTGAAATTACACTCTCCTATTTGGCAGGAGCCTCACAGATCTTAATATGGAAGGCGGAGGCGTTTTGACTTTGCTTTAAAAATTCCAAAAACATAAATTTGCAACATTTTACTGATACATGCGGTGTACAGTGCATGAACATGAATATAGTAAGATCTAGCAACGCAGCTCCAGCAGGCTGCATAGTGGCCGTTTTCATACTGGAGGATGCATTATTCGTCCAGACGGATGATTATGAACATCTAGCCACGTTTGCACCCCTCTTACGTTGTTCTTAATTTGGGGGCCTCATTCTTCTTACAAAAAATTGTTGTTATAAACTGAAAGATCTATTTCTCCCTCGGTCTAATATAATTTATTGATCACAGCCAGTGTAATCATTGCATGCGTTTTCTTCCGTTCCTGTTACAGATCCCACGAACTCCGATCAAAGTTGGACAGCTTTAATTAAGCCAAACATGCGATCAATTTGTCGGTAAAGTACTGTGGATTTCGGCCAACTTCAATCCGCAGCCCGCGAACAGGATCTCAAGTGTGATATTCATCGAGGTCCATGGAGGGTGAGAAGGAGCTAGAAAGCGCAAATTGACCGCGGGGAGTGGTGAAGTTGAGATGCCGGCTGTGAAGTAAACCGAGCCTGTTCACCGATCTGCCTTCTGGGCTCCGTACATGGACAATTTATGTTCATCCCTTGTCTCGACTATACGCGGTAACAACACCTAGATCTCATAGTGTTTACCTGACAACGTCGGCATAATGGACATTAATTATGAGTGTCTGAGGCTCCTGGTCTGAGGAAATTGCACTGAGGAGTTTAAAACTACCTTCCCTTTTTATGCCAAATAGCTATAGATAGTCAAAGAGTACATGTTATCAAAAAATTTTTGATAACATGTACTCTTTGACTATAATTTTGCATAAAGTTATTCAGTCTGACATTTATGATGGACGCTCAAAATTCTTTTCTTTTCAGTCATGCTTCGCGGATTTCATGAATGCTGAAGATTCATTTCGAAATCTAGAGAGAACCGCTGATTTCAACATGAAACTCCGAGCCCAGTTTATAGCCTAATTCTTACACTAGATATATTAGCGAGTCGGCTTAGATTCACGTTTACTAGAAACGGCAAACGGTAATTTCTAACAAGGGGCGAACTTTTCCGCCCTCTACTTGTCAGTTTAGTGTTTATCATATCCATGCAAAAATTAGTAGCCTCATGCCAGATTAATCCGTAAGAGTTACTTCATTGCCAAATATGAGGAACTGTAAACTTGAATTGCCGTTTACGATAGACGTAAAAATAAAGCTCTCAGTACTAAGTAGCACTGGACACAAATGATAGAACAGAGAATTAGCTCTAGAGTGAGGAATCAGTTGATAGAGGCATTATATTATAGGTCATAACTTACAATTCTCACTGGTAAGGTTGGGCTACCTGTACAAAGACAAGTCATGTTACAGCTTTCTTTAACAGTACTTTGACTGCCTTTTGATGTTGCAAAATGATCCCATTTTTATCAGGGAACAGAATCGGCCTGGCAGTGTGATAATTAAGTTACGTGAAGCGCAGCAGAAAGATGTAGAGGATAAATGAACCATGTCAATGCTTGCACAGAGGCACCATAGATAACGTCATTTGTTTCAACCAGTCACTTACACAAAATATTCATTACTTATCAGAAATACCGAGTCAAGATCAACAGCTTTTTATTATAAATCTTTGAATTTCCTATGAACCTACCGGGATCATTGAACGTGGCCTTGTTTTCTCAACAGCAAACTTTGAGTTGGGCGAGGGCATGTTGCTATGCAGCAGTTTTTCACACATAAGCATTTGAATCTCTGGCACTCGCTGCATCTCCTCTGTGTTTAGTTCTTCAACCACATCCTTGGTGTCGACCAGCCCCAGTCGAACCGCTCCGATAACTTTAGCCGCGACTGTCATCCTCTCTTTCTTTTTGTGTTTGATCCACTGCATCACAGATTTGAAGACAAATGTCTCTGAAGGAGCATTGAGATCATCTCGGCTGAGAAGATTCAGTAACCTATCAGCGTCAATATGGGACAAGAATCCTTCACTTTCACAGACCTGCCCGTACAACGACGCCATCTTACGATGTAAATCTTCCTTTAGGTCTCTCAGACCGTGCAAATCAGCAAATGCAAGAAGATGAAGATACGTCTGGATGTCAATGCAACCTTGAATGTATTCTTTGTCCAAGAAATCACAACACTGTCGCACAATGATTGGCATCTGGAGATGGTTGGCAGTTATGAGAACTTCGAAAACGTTTTTCTTGTCAATGAAGAGCTCTCCACTGTAGATGGAATCCATTACAACCTTAAAACCCAGTGCTGAAAGGTTTTCATCTTTAAGCTCAATCACTTCCTGGTTCGATTCCTTCATTCCATTGGTGAACATTGCATGGAAATAATCGCTATTAGCAGCGAGAACATTGCGGTGAGCAGGAAAGATGGACTCATCCACCTTCAGACGAACGTCAATGAATTCTCCGTTTTCTCTGAACTGGCCTAACTTGAACAAAAGATGCGCCGCCATTTTTGGTGATGCGGTATGTGTCGAGACAGCGCCCTCTCGATCGTTTTAAACAGTCCGCTGTGTGGGTTATTGAGGTGTTATGCAACACTGACCAAGATATGAAGAATGACTAATGAAGAGGTAGTTTGTAATTGAGCACGAAACACTGCCCCCTACATTTTTCAGTCCATCATATTGTTGGTTTTCACTTGACGTCACTAAAATTCAAACTACAAAAAACTATCGATGCTACCTAGATTTTACTTTCACGATGTATTAGAGTGGCTGAAAACTAATCTTCATACAAATTTTCGCTTCAAAAGGGAGTCTTGGTTTTGAGATAGAGGACGCTTGAATTTCTAAGTTATTGCGTGACTCGGCATTTACATGACGGCCAAGAGAGCTGTCATGTAGGTTAAAAAAATGACTTATTTCAAGGAATTTTGCTATCTAAACAGTTTATGTATTAGAAAAAGTATTACTTTAATGTTTATGAGTTCCTCGAAGAATAAATTCACGCTTTTGTAGCAAAACTCGGTAACAGATGTTTCTGCTGGTTTCCGTCCGCCATGTTGGTGCTCAGCATGGCGTCTCCATACAAATCTTTATAAATTTGGGTAAAATATTTCTTCGGGTATCTCGTATATGAAATATTCCTCTGACCTGAATCTTGGCGAGGGTCTTTGCATAGTTACCTCCTTTCATTTCCCAGATTCTGGACTTTATCTGTTGAACGGTTTTGATTTTTATTTTGATATCTTTTGAATGGCGTGATGCTGAAAACCAGCTGAGCAATATGGTCATATTAGAAAGATGTAGTTAAATCAATGGTCTCACAGACAGTATTTTGTGTGAAGTAAAAAGATAAAAAGTGAAATGAGAAGACTTGCTATGGGAAGAGGGTAGCCTGACGGGGCGCTCTGGCGGTGGGGCGTGAAAAAGAAGGAGAGCTTGTAACTACAACCCCATTTTCACGCGCAAAAAAAATCGGCACGGCACGCCAAATTTTTGGCACCGTGCTGATGATTTCAAGGCACGGCACTCCCAATTTTCGACAGAAATTTAGTTCCCAGCCAAGAATTATATTATAGTGCAAGAAGCAGAATCTTACCAATACGACCTGTATCTAGTATCTATCGAGTATTCATGTAGGCATACCTTCCATCTTTCGAACTCTTATATCTAAACGACACGAATTACACGTAAATTTCAACCCTTATTCGTGTTTTCTATGGAAATCTCTTCGCTTTGCATGCTTGCCTTCTATTGTGCGAAGTTTCCGGCACAAAAATCTATAAGAGGAAGAATCAGATGATTTTACGCATAAACCGAAGTCTACCCTTAATTTTCTCCTTAATTCTTGGATGTTCCCAGAAAGTTTTTATGTTACGTAATGTACATATTCCAAACCGCTGGTGAAAAGTAGAATCGCACGATTTCGAAAAAAAAGCGAATGTACCAGAGTGACACGCTCTCTTCTAGGTAATTTGTAAAAAAAGGTATAGGAAAATTTTTCTCAGAGCTGCAATTGATCAGTGTACTCGATATAGTCCCTGAATTTCATGCCCATTGAAAAGTTAAAGTTGCTTAAGTAGGCTACACAAGGTAGTACGAGAATGTTTCTGGTAACTATTCTTGATTTGGATCTTGATCCATAAGGAAAATACAAAATTGAATGTTCTTTTCAAACGACAAAGCGTATTTTTTTATTTTTATATTAAATCAAGAAAATTTGCACAAGGAAAGCCCGATATGTCGCAGTTACGCGTCTAGTTAGTGGGCCGAGTTAATTGTTAGGCTTCATTTTACATACAAACATAGGCTACTGTCCGTCATGGTCTGAAAGACCTGTACAAGAAGCTGAGTACACATTGCAAGATGTAAAATGCAAGACACGGCCTGCATGATCCTCCATGAACAAGGTTGAAAGAAAAGAATTAATTCCTTTCTAATACGGACTCAGACACGTTATGCCGTCATTCTAAGGGAAATTTGCACCTCCTTGAGAGACATTCGTCAATGATGTAGTGGGTTCAATTAGATTTGGAACGCTCATCCGCTGCCAACGTAATCGGCTAAATTGATTGGTGCGCACTTGTATAACATAGGAGTAATCGGAGTTTATTAGAGTGCGTTCGATATGTTTACAGGTAGCAGTTGAGGGCAAAGGGTGGATGCAGGAGTGGATGGTTCTTGCGATAGATAAATACGATTATAGCATATTTTGAACGTAAGGGTTGCGTACAGAAAAACCTCTATTTAAACTGTGTATCATCATGAAAAGGTTTTTAAGGCTAGTGATCAGAGTGATACCGTATGGTTGGACGTGGTTCGTCTAAAGTGCTTCTAGTTGAGGAGACACTGGCCAGAGTGCGTCGGGCGTGTAAATAGAACTTTTTGTTTTACTGGTGCAATAGATGTTCTACAGGGCGCAGTTCTTCGAAGGCCGATTAGCCCTTAACCCGGGTTTCTTTTTCTTTTGTTAAAAAACATTTCTTCGGATAACTTCCTCTGTTATTTTTAAGAGCATCCAATCACCACAACGATCATCAACTTATTGTTAAAATGCAAACAGTTGACAAAGTTTTAGATGCAATCATTAATTTTAATTGTTGGGAATTCCACATGTAGACAATTACTGAAATTTACTATAAAATGAAACCGTTACTGGCAAGTCTTGATATTAAAGAAGACCACATTTTTTGTGGTGAACCGGCCGGGGCAAAATGAATTGCGTTTGAACACTGGTTCACTTACACTACACCTCTCCATTTCACACGTTTCAAGGGAATCATCAAATTTTTCAGTGGAATTTCAGTAGAATGTGGGTACGGCTCTTGTCAATAACTTTTCCAGTAATTTGGTCGAGTATACTGTCTTTTCAGTGACTTGAGTGGCGCTACCGTGGGCTGGTCACGTTTTTCCGAAAGAATAACATAGCTAAAATGTTGGTTTGTCCGGTGCCGAAAATATCACAAGTCATGATGAAATGGCACCGCCGAACTTCACAACTCGGTAAATTTACTTTGTGGCACTACGGCCGCCGAGCTCCACAACTAGGTAAATGTACTTTGTGGACGTCTAACTTAAGCCCCGGTTTAACGAATATTTGAACCTCCAGATCTCTTCTTTGGTGGGTTGTTTTAAGAAGATAAATGCTTTTCTAGTCATCTCCATATGCTTTCATAAAACTATTCACAATAAATGATGTTTAGATAAAATCGTTGGGCAAACTGAAAATCACTTAGAACGCGGTTTTGTTAAGCACTGGCTAGACACAAAATGTCGAAGTAAGAAACCAGTGTGGACTTTCCACCTGCGTTGTCAGAAGTTTTTTTGTACCTCGATACAGATTTTGTCGACATCCTCTTTCGCGTCCCTCAATGCTACCTTTTTCGCAGACGTACTTTTTTCGGGTATTTCAAAAACCTCATAAAGATATCCAAGGGTTCTAAGAAATGAAACTGCCGAAACCTGTTTAAACGCGAGCTTTTCTTCTTATAAAAAAAGTCTCAATAGTTAGAACTCCAACACCAGTTACAAAAATGATTTCTCGTAAGTACAAATTCCATGTACTTAAAAGAAAGATCATTGCTGATTTCTTTGAACCCTCGGAAATTCTTTTTGGCCAGATCCAATGCTAAGAGTCACAGTTTTTTTAATAGGGTAGTAAATGTTTAACGTGACGATCTTTTGTGTCCGTGAAAACAGTATTTTCCTTTTCCGAACACAGAAATCTTGTTAATATTAGAAGACGAATTATTCGTTGAGTTGTCTACAACCAGCTCTTTGAATTACGCTTCCTGTTTGTCAGGTACTGCCCTGGTGTCCTTTGCAGATAGTAATAATTATATCAGTTAATGTGCCACCGGGTCATCAGTATAGGACAAAAACTATGTCAGAAAATAGCATTTCTGTTTGCAAAACTTTGTTGCTTTCATTAACATTAATATAATATCACTTAACTGTTAACTTTTCATTTATCAGTTAACTACTGTTTTTTTTAGCCAAATATCAGTTAACTGTTAACCCCATTCGCACCCTCTTAGACTACGTTTAAGTATTTGGCCTTTAGTGCTTTGAACTGCGCCAAAGACTTTGGAACCACAGAAAACGAGTTCGAAGTGGGTTGCACTCACGAAAAGTCGAATTGTCTCGGTGTCATGTCATGCCTTTGTCAGCACTCTCAACTATGTCTCTCCCATCGGTGCAAACAGTGATTAAATTCACCAATTCAATTCCAAAAATAATGGTCCAGTTTTGTTATTTAAGACTATATTTTAGCATTGATAATGTTTCTCGTCGGCTGTTGCAATGGATTGCAAGGATTAAAAATGGATTGAGACGTAGGCCAACAACAAGATACAGGACATACAGCAACCAGATAAGTACCAGACTGATTCCGATCAGATAATGAAAGTGCCGAAGAAGGTGACTTTTGAAGTAGGTTATTGCGGGACATGCATGACCATGTCTGGAAGATCAGTACGAGATCATGACTGGTGATAAATTGTACTAGAGGCAGAGTTCATGTATTTATACCTTGATTCTAGTAGGGCCTGCCTTAAAAGCGGTTGACTTGCTGAGAGAAGGAAAAGTCGGGTTATGACGGAATAATATTCGCTGTAGGAAAGTGAAAGTTAATAGCTAACCAAAATTAGTAGTTAACTGAGAATAGCGCTTTATACTATTACTAAAAATAGGTTTTGTCACCTTAGACCCCCCGCGTGACTCAGACAAACTTTGCATTCTACTCCAAGGCTTTGTATGGGAAACATACGTTTCCGACATGAAAATTGTTCATAAAATTCGCAGTTAGCGTTTTTAAAATGTTTTTTGAGCATAATTCCACTATATAAAAGGCACTACTGCTATTGGGAGCAAAACCTGGTCCAGTAACTCAAATAAATGGTTAAAATCAGAAAATAAAGCGACCCGATCAAAGAAGGCTACTGAAATCGGATCTCTAGCTCTGTGTCTTGGGCAGAAAGCAACGCTATGCACTGAAACATGACATAAAA